TCTATGTCGATATCTGTGATTCAAAAGATATCGTGTAAACTAACTTTGTCTGACATAATGCATCTCATAAACACAAATATATCTTTGATTGACTGACTGTCAGATTCAAAACACTCCGTCACTAATGGACCCCCTCCCCCATCATACATTGTATACAAGGGGTTAAAAGATTCTCACCACACCAGTGTAGCCTGTGTGCAGGCTTTCGAAACTAGGATAAACAACATTCAACATTCAACATTCAATTCTTTATTTATGTTTATCTTTCCAGATAATCAGGGTTGTTGACAGATGTGGACAGATTGGTGCAGTTTGACATGGTTCATAAGAAGACCCTTAAAGGTGCATTGTACCCTATCCCTGGTTCCCTAACCCCAAGACTCTAAAAGGGGCATTGTACCCTATCCCTGGTCCCCTAACCCCAAGACTCTAAAAGGGGCATTGTACCCTATCCCTGGTTCCCTAACCCCAAGACTTTAAAGGGGCATTGTACCCTATCCCTAGTTCCCTAACACCAAGACTCTAAAAGGGGCATTGTACCCTATCCCTTGTTCCCTAACCTCAAGACTCTAAAAGGGGCATTGTACCCTATCCATGGTTCCCTAACCCCAAGACTCTAAAAGGGGCATTGTACCCTATCCCTGGTTCCCTAACACCAAGACTCTAAAAGGGGCATTGTACCCTATCCCTGGTTCCCTAACCCCAAGACTCTAAAAGGGGCATTGTACCCTATCCCTGGTTCCCTAACCCCAAGACTCTAAAAGGGGCATTGTACCCTACCCCTGGTTCCCTAACCCCAAGACTCTAAAAGGGGCATTGTACCCTATCCATGGTTCCCTAACCCCAAGACTCTAAAAGGGGCATTGTACCCTATCCCTGGTTCCCTAACACCAAGAATCTAAAAGGGGCATTGTACCCTATCCCTGGTTCCCTAACCCCAAGACTCTAAAAGGGGCATTGTACCCTATCCCTGGTTCCCTAACCCCAAGACTCTAAAAGGGGCATTGTACCCTATCCATGGTTCCCTAACCCCAAGACTCTAAAAGGGGCATTGTACCCTATCCCAGGTTCCCTAACTCCAAGACTCTAAAAGGGGCATTGTACCCTATCCCTGGTTCCCTAACCCCAAGACTCTAAAAGGGGCATTGTACCCTATCCCTGGTTCCCTAACCCCAAGACTCTAAAAGGGGCATTGTACCCTATCCATGGTTCCCTAACCCCAAGACTCTAAAAGGGGCATTGTACCCTATCCCTGGTTCCCTAACTCCAAGACTCTAAAAGGGGAACCTACCCAGTCTGGGACAGACTTGTTACATTAAGACATATTGTGTGGCACGGCACGGGATGGCACAGCACACACACGGCACGGCACAGCACGGCACGGCACACACACGGCACAGCACGGCACGGCACGGCACGGCACAGCACAGCACAGCATGGTATAGGGAGTTCACAGGCATGGAGCTGTGTCATCAGGCAAGACCTGAAATGAGAATTTGAAACTCAGACCTGAGTAAACTTGTTGCTCTTCTTCAATACATACTGAATAACAGAATAACAGAATAACAGAAGTTTATTGTATTTGAGGTCCAGGCGGCCTCCAGTACAGTTTTCACAAGTTTTTAGAATATGTATACATATTAACACATATCAACACTTACTGTGCATAATCATCCTTATAAAATGCACAAATATCTGTATGGAAAAATGTTATCTAACCATTAGGGTTATGACAAAGACCCCTTGACTTTCATGCTTAATTTGAACACTCCAAAGGGCATGTAAAAGTGTTCTGGACAATCAGTACCAGGCCTCAAGTTTAAATTTCTACCAAGTAGCCTTTAGGCTACAAGCATTTTTTTCCAGGTAGCCAGTGGTAAAATCAAGAAGTCAAGTCAATATCGTAGGTAGCCAAAAGCATTTGAAATCATCTTTTATCAAGTAACTATTATATGTACAAGTTATAGCACTTGTCTTAAAATTGTATATTCATGGAAACAACTGAATTTTTGTAATTTGTGACTCAAACAATGATGCAATTTATATTACTAGATTACTTAGGTATATCCTTGCTTATCCAGTGAGCATTGTCAACTGAAATAAAATACTAATTACATTGATATTTATGTATTTCTGTTCATTGTCGACTTAAGGAGGAATTATACGGAAGTACAATTATAAGCAGACATGTTTTCCACAATCACCTATTATTTATTTTTGTGTCTTCAAATGTGAAGCAATAGAATTTAGTCGCCACAAGATATTTTTCAAGGTAGTCATTCGGCTACCTCTGAATTTTAGACAGTAGACAAATTGAAATTTAGGTTGAATTGGCGACTGTTTTAGTCGCAACTTTGATGCCTGAGTTCGTGTGTGATTCTTGGGTAATGAAACCCCCCGGCTACATCAGAGGTGAAGACAAACAGGACATCAGGATCTGATAGACAGGAACTACCCCTCTTATTATTTTCATAACAAGTGACATTGACATCACTGAAGCTTTGACAGCTTTCTCAGCAGGATAAAGACGACAGATAAAAACTATCCTACAGATAAATATGCAAGTTTCTAGGTGCAAAAAGGTCAGGTAGGTGCTATATTAAGTGTATATAAACATGTCGTCACCTTGTCTAATTGGTCATAATCAGAACTGTTCACCATCGGACCATTGACTATTACCCATCCAATCACCCAGGTTACCAATCACCCATCAACAAGGTAAACAATCACCCAGTCTATCCAGGTAAACAATCATGCATCCACCCAGGTAAACAATCACCCCATCTATCCAGGTAAACAATCACCCATCCACCCAGGTAAACAATCATCCATCTACCAAGGTAAAAAATCACCCATCCACCCAGGTAAACAATCACCCATCAACACAGGTAAACAATCACTCATCCACCCAGGTAAACAATCATCCATCTACTCAGGTAAACAATCATCCATCTACTCAGGTAAACAATCACCCATCTACCCAGGTAAACAATCACCCATCTACCCAGGTGAACAATCATCCATCTACCCAGGTGAACAATCACACATCTACCCAGGTGAACAATCACACATCTACCCAGGTGAACAATCACACATCCACCCAGGTGAACAATCACCCATCCACCCAGGTGAACAATCATCCATCTACCCAGGTGAACAATCACACATCTACCCAGGTGGACAATCACCCATCCACCCAGGTGAACAATCATCCATCTACCCAGGTGAACAATCACACATCCACCCAGGTGAACAATCATCCATCTACCCAGGTGAACAATCACCCATCTACCCAGGTGAACACTCACACATCTACCCAGGTAAACAATCACCCATCTACCCAGGTGAACAATCACCCATCCACCCAGGTAAACAATCACCAATCTACCCAGGTGAACAATCACACATCTACCCAGGTGAACAATTACACATCTACCCAGGTGAACAATCACACATCTACCCAGGTGAACAATCACACATCCACCCAGGTGAACAATCACCCATCTACCCAGGTGAACAATCACTCATCCACCCGCCCTGGTTTGTTTGTTGTTTTATGCCGCACTCCGCAATATTCCAGCTTTATGACGGCAGTCTGTAAATAATCAAGTCTGGACCAGACAATCCAGTGACTGACATCATGAGCATCAATCCACGCAATTGGGAAACGATGACATCATCAACCAAGTCATCGAGCCTGACCACCTGAGTGAATGGCTGAAGGGGTGGGTGGGTGAGTGAATGGGTGGGTGAGTGGGTGGGAGAGTGAATGGGTGGGTGGGTGGGTGGGAGAGTGAAGGGGTGAATGAAGTGGTGGGTGGGTGAGTGAATGCCCTAGTCATTACCTTGTGATGCAACCTTTACTCGTAACTTCCATGGTAGAGCCCACAGTGCTGTCCATCGTGTCAACTGCAAGAGTCGGGCAAAGTTAATTTGGAAACTTCGATGAGGGCTTGGATGTGCTGTCAGGGAAAAAGTAAAAATAGATGGTGAGATTGGCAAAAGCCATAATAAAGTACTTAAAGCTAAGACATACAAGAAATCCCAGTAAGTAAAATGACTGACAGCAAAGAAAAAGCTGGAATTAATCAAACTCCATGATTGTAAAAGAAATTCATTATTCGCAAGACCACGAAAGGCCACGAAAGGCTCGGGCACAACTGATTCTGATTTTGTGTCGTAGAACCTTTAACCAGACACAGCACAAACACCCTTAACTCTTTCAACATAAGCCAACCAGAGTTATTTCCCTTGGTACATCAAGTTCCCACAGCCATTGAACGCCTGCACACCAAGTTCCCAGAGACTTGTTGAAGAAAAGTATTCCTGTTTCTTTAGTGTTCTGGTATATTTATGTTTGAGTAGTACTTGAAAATTCATGAAAAAATGTTTTAATTTCTACCATTCTTTAATTAAAGGTAATCACAGGTGAACAATGAGTGAAAAACAGACAAGGTAACAGATAAGGAAGCTATAAATAGATTGACTGTAACAGAAAATGTGATAACAGTGACAAATTAATGTTTTCTTATCTTCGGGCAGCAGGAGGAAAGTCATCTTCCCGAGGCAAGGGAGTTATCTGACTATAAACTAGGCTCGAAATTCTGGAGTTACATTGTGGCTGGACTAATGAGTCTTTGCATAATCCAATCAAAATCGTGTAAGAAACTAGAAAATCGGTTCGTAAACAACATGGATTCCATCGTGCAGTTTTCGTTTAACAGCAGGATTTCAAAAGCATGTGTACCGTCAACTGGGCGAAGACCCATTTTATTACAATATAGGTCTTGATTATTGATCAGATCATCTTGACTGTGCGCCGCCATATTGTTTGAAGCAAATGGAAGTGATATGAGAGGGAGGTGGAAACTGACTGGTCAGTTGGAAGGACATAGTAGGGCCATAACACGGAATTGCCACTGGTGGTGCTATGATCGAGCCATGAAATTCCAACATAGTTCGGTAAGGGTGGAAACAGGACTTGCATAATGAGTTAATTCCCTTGCCTCGGGAAGATGGAGGAAAGTAGGTGACCCAGGTGTTGCACAGGTGAGAATTGACATGGACCTGAAACAATAAATAAAATATTTGTCAAATAATACGTTTCATTTTGGTAACATGATTGCTATTTAACCTTGTTGTGTAATATTTTTCAATGGAACAACAGAACAGGGGTGTAATGGCTGCTGCTGCTGCTGCCTACTTGAGGTATACTCGTTAGGTCAGGTAAACTGGTTAGCCAAGGTAAGGAAATATGAGAAATAACACAAAAAGGATGAAACAAATTAGAATATTATCATGTAGCATACAAAGACAATAGGATTTATTATTCTTACATCACTAGACAGCAAAGGTTACTGAAGGAGCTTGATTGGCAAGTGCGATGAAAGTGGATTATCTCCCTTGGATGTGGCAGTTTTCTTCGCCTGAAAATATAACAAAGGATTTTAACAGTTTTTCTTGTTGAATAGTTGAAATATGAATGCCTTTGAGTTATATGAATGTTATATTTGATCCTAGAATAATAATAATAAAAGTTCATATTTTGCAGCAGCAACACCCCAAAAATATCTTCTTGTTAACCTTGGTTAGCAAGACGAGTGAAAAAAAGAGAGGAAAAAATACAAAAGGCTGAAATAAATCACTTTACTATCCAATATCATACACAGACAGCGAACTAACATGTTTTCAAACACTAGATGGCACAGGTGATAGTAGGAGGTTGACTGACAGGTGTTGAATGTGTGGATTATCTCCCTTGGATTATTCTTCACCTTACATGAATTTTTTTCTAAAAATAACACTTTGATGACTTGTTTGGTTCTATGATATTGTATTTGAGATCAGGTTGAGCTGAACTATATAAAAAAAAACATGCCCCCTAATAGAAAGGGGGACTGTTTAGATTGTTTATGCTACAAACAGCAATATTTCAGCTATATGACGGTGATCTGTAAATAATCGACCAGACAGTCCAGTGACTGACATCAAGAGCATCGATCCAAGCAATTGGAATACGATGACATGCATCAAGTAACACACATACATATATTTATTTTGTTTGTTTGTTGTTCAAAGCTACACTCAGTATATTCCAGTTATATGACGGCGGTCTGTAAATAATTGAGTGTGGACCAGACAAGTTCGCGAATTTCCCGTTCACCCTCAGGATTTAGTTCAAGCATATCAAAACCACCAACAAATTCAATGAAATCATTGTCTGACAGCTCATCGCTATCTGAATCATGACTCGCAGCCATTACAGATGCGTGTACAAAGTCAAATTGCAATGCAAAGTTTACTTTAAGAAAATTCAGCTGTCTACAGAAACTTTCTAAATAAACACCCCATAATACATCAACTCTTGTTTCTGGTAGTCACATGACTTGTTAACGCGAGTATAGGATGTATACTTATTTGTTGTTGTTTACTTGTATACACGCTGGCTGGTAGACCAGCCTATGGTGCCTGGGGAGTCATGACATCTTTGCTGGTCTACTGGCCTACAGTGTTGAAAGAGTTAGACACCCTGTAATCTAAATCTACTCATGCTGTGATGTATCTGACCACTAAACAACAGAACCTCCTCCGTGGGCTGGTGGGTAGAGCGTCTGCCCGAAGTGCGAAACTATATGACTTTAACTATAAACACCACAAACCACCCTTAAGACACCCTGTAATCTAAGTCTACTCATGCTATGATGTATCTGACCACTAAACAACAGAACCTCCTCCGTGGTTTAGTGGATAGAGCGTCTGCCCAAAGGGCGAAAGGCCGGGGGTTTGATATGTAACCCTGTCATACCAAGGACATTAAAGAATGGGACTTGTTGTTACCCTGCCTGGTGCTAGGCAATAAGGGGCTAAAACAAGGACTGGTTCTCTTCGAGTCAGTATCCTGTGTCTGAGTTGCAGATTCATGTTAAAGTGCGAAATGGTATGTCAGTGGGATACCACAATAAAATTGGCACACACACACACACACACACACACACACACACACACACACACACATCCATGCTTGTTGCTATATAAGCATGTGATGTTAAACCCCACTTTCACCTCACATCATTATAAAACAGTCTATTTGACCTCTTGATCCATGTCCAGAGAATGACAAGAAACACCACAAACCACCCTTGACAACCTGTAATCTGTACCTACCCATGCTATGATGTATCTGATCACAGAACAGAGTATTTTTTACCACTTGACCCATGTCCAGTGAGTGAGTGAGTGAGTGAGTGAGTGAGTGAGTACTGGACTTACAGGGATGGGGAGCTTGTGCTCGAGACACATTGCAAACAAGTCAAGATGTAGAGACCACCCTGTCGACACAATCTTGTTCTTCCAGGATAAACAGTCTACCAAAGGGTCTGGGGAATGGCGCGGGCTTCCAATGTGCAGCTGATCCTGGCTGATCCCAACTCAGATGTCTGACTTTGACAATCTGTGATCCAACAAATAAAAAATAATGGTCAGGGTCAAGAAAATAATTTCAAATATCCTCCTCAGAACAACAGACCGAAGGGAGCTTACTCTTCCACCAATGTTGCAAATTACCTCCCCCTTGTCTACAGTTGAGAAACTGTTGTTTGTTTGTCACAGTCACAGATATTCCAGCTACATGACATCTCCATCTTTATGAATAATTGGAGCAAACCCCTCAGCTCAAACATGGCAAACCTGCGAAGACTTTGAGGCAGCATACTTGGTACTCACAGACATATCAACCAGTTGTCTGGAGCAACGCCACTCATAAACCTGGTAGAAACTGGTGGATGTCAGGTGCTGGACCCTTGGGTGAATCTGTCCTCTGTGTAGATATGTCATCTGTGTGGATTTGTCATCTGTGTGGATTTGGGGAGGACTTTAGCCAGAAACGACCTATGCTATGAGGTATCTGGTCAGTATACAGTCTGTTTGACTACTTGACCCATCTCAAGAGGTGAATCTTAACCAGAAACAACACAAAACACCCTGAAGACACCCCATAATCTAAATCTGACCATGCTATGAGGTATCTGGTCAGTATACATAGTCTATTTGACCACTTGACCCATCTCAAGAGGAGGACTTTAACCAGAAACAACACAAAACACCCTGAAGACACCCCATAGTCTAAATCTGACCATGCTATGAGGTATCTGGTCAGTATACACAGTCTATTTGACCACTTGACCCATCTCAAGAGGAGGACTTTAACCAGAAACAACACAAAACACCCTTAAGACACCCTGTAAATCTAAATCTAACCATGCTATGATGTATCTGGTAAGTATTCATAGTCTATTTGACTACTTGACCCATCTCAAGAGGAGGACTTTAACCAGAAACAACACAAAACACCCTTAAGACACCCCATAATCTAAATCTGACCATGCTATGAGGTATCTGGTCAGTATACACAGTCTATTTGACCACTTGACCCATCTCAAGAGGAGGACTTTAACCAGAAACAACACAAAACACCCTGAAGACACCCTGTAATCTAAATCTGACCATGCTATGACATATGTGGTCAGTATACACAGTCTATTTGACCACTTGACCCATTTCAAGAGGAGGACTTTAACCAGAAACAACACAAAACACCCTGAAGACACCCCATAATCTAAATCTACCCATGCTATGAATCTGGTCAGTATACAGTCTATTTGACCACTTGACCCTCTCAAGAGGTGGATCTTAACCAGAAACAACACAAAACACCCTGAAGACACCCCATAATCTAAATCTGACCATGCTATGAGGTATCTGGTCAGTATACACAGTCTATTTGACCACTTGACCCATCTCAAGAGGAGGACTTTAACCAGAAACAACACAAAACACCCTTAAGACACCCCATAATCTAAATCTGACCATGCTATGAGGTATTTGGTCAGTATACACAGTCTATTTGACTACTTGACCCTCTCAAGAGGTGGATCTTAACCAGAAACAACACAAAACACCCTGAAGACACCCTGTAATCTAAATCTGACCATGCTATGAGGTATCTGGTCAGTATACACAGTCTATTTGACTACTTGACCCATTTCAAGAGAAGGACTTTAACCAGAAACAACACAAAACACCCTTAAGACACCCTGTAAATCTAAATCTAGCAATGCTATGATGTATCTGGTCAGTATACACAGTCTTTTTGACCACTTGACCCTCTCAAGAGGAGGACTTTAACCAGAAACAACACAAAACACCCTTAAGACACCCTGTAATCTAAATCTACCCATGCTATGATGAATCTGGTCAGTATACAGTCTATTTGACCACTTGACCAATCTCAAGAGGAGGACTTTAACCAGAAACAACACAAAACACCCTTAAGACACCCTGTAATCTAAATCTACCCATGCTATGATGTATCTGGTCAGTATACAGGCTATTTGACCACTTGACCCTCTCAAGAGGAGAACTTTAACCTGCAAATAGTAACATCTGGACCAGACAATCCAGCGATTGATATTACGAGTAACGACCCACGCTGTGTGGGTACGACAGGCTACACTAGGCAAAAATTCCAACAGTCTGTAAATAATCACATCTGGACCAGACAATCCAGTGATTGATATTACGAGTAACGACCCACGCTGTGTGGGTACGACAGGCTACACTAGGCAAAAATTCCAACAGTCTGTAAATAATCACATCTGGACCAGACAATCCAGTGATTGATATTACGAGTAACGACCCACGCTGTGTGGGTACGACAGGCTACACTAGGCAAAAATTCCAACAGTCTGTAAATATTCGTATCTGGACCAGACAATCCAGTGATTGATATTACGAGTAACAACCCACGCTGTGTGGGTACGACAGGCTACACTAGGCAAAAATTCCAATAGTCTGCAAATAATCACATCTGGACCAGACAATCCGGTGATTGATATTACAGTAACGACCCACGCTGTGTGGGTACGACAGGCTACACTAGGCAAAAATTCCAACAGTCTGTAAATAATCACATCTGGACCAGACAATCCAGTGATTGATATTACGAGTAACGACCCACGCTGTGTGGGTACGACAGGCTACACTAGGCAAAAATTCCAACAGTCTGTAAATATTCGTATCTGGACCAGACAATCCAGTGATTGATATTACGAGAAACGACCCACGCTGTGTGGGTACGACAGGCTACACTAGGCAAAAATTCCAATAGTCTGCAAATAATCACATCTGGACCAGACAATCCAGTGATTGATATTACGAGTAACGACCCACGCTGTGTGGGTACGACAGGCTACACTAGGCAAAAATTCCAACAGTCTGTAAATATTCGTATCTGGACCAGACAATCCAGTGATTGATATTACGAGTAACAACCCACGCTGTGTGGGTACGACAGGCTACACTAGGCAAAAATTCCAATAGTCTGCAAATAATCACATCTGGACCAGACAATCCAGTGATTGATATTACGAGTAACGACCCACGCTGTGTGGGTACGACAGGCTACACTAGGCAAAAATTCCAATAGTCTGCAAATAATCACATCTGGACCAGACAATCCAGTGATTGATATTACGAGTAACGACCCAAGATGTGTGGGTACAACAGGATCCACTCAGCAATATTCAAAAAGTCTGTAAATAATCATATCTGGACCAGACAATCCAGTGCCGGTACGACAGGCTGTGAACCTGGCCACTGAGTTGATCTACCCTTGTTGATGGGATTAATTGTAACCCCAAATTCCCTCAGGGTGTCAGAATATAATACAGCATGTCCTGACGACTAGATTAACACAATCTATTCTTAGTGACATAAGACTCACAAATAATAAACAAATTTGTCTATAAAGAAAAGTAAATATTTAACACATTCAATGGTGTGTGTTCTTGTAGACATATACCATAAGTTATCTTTTTATAGCTATTTCAGGTTTGTATGGGTGTTGTCGCCACACTATTCCAATATTCCAGCTATAATTATGACAGCTTCTGTAAATAATGGAGTCTGGATCAGACAATCCAGTGGTCGACACCATGAGCATCGATACACTTAAAGGAGATTCCAGGACATGCAATCAACCAAGTCAATGAGCCTG